ATTCATTCATTCACCATGTATTTACTGAGTGCCTTCTACCAGTGTCCGGTAACAGTGGATAATAATCTATTTGTTCTTATTTATTATTATCAATCTAATATCGGAGATTGATTTAACATACCTAAATACTACATAATGAGATAGAGTCTTGTAGACAAATACATAACCATCTCCTCATCTTAAAACTTTGCAAAGTAAGTACAGGTTCCTTAGTTTGGCATTTGAGGCCTTCTAAATTCTTGCTCTATACTACCGTTTTCCCACTCCATATATCTCCTTAGCAGTATTGTCCAATAGAAGTATACTGCAAACCGCAAATGCAATTTTAGTTTTTCTTGTAGTCATTTGTTTTTTGAGAGAGAGAGAGAAGGTGCAAGAGAGAGAAGGTGCAAGAGAGAGAAGGTGTGTGAGAGAGAGAGAATCCTACAAGGGGCAGAGAGAGATGGAGGGTGAGAGAGAGAAAAAAGCAGTGCTCACCCAGGGCTTGTGTTTTTACCGGAAGCAGGGTTCATGCTCACCCAAAGTGGTGCTTGAGCTTACCTGAAGTGGGGCTCCTGCTCCGTTGAACTCATTAACTGTGAGATCATGACCTTAGCCGAAGTCAGATACTTAACGACTGAGCCACCCAGGCATCCTGTAGTCTTATTTGAAAAGTAAAATGTAACAAGTGAATTAGTTTGAATAATATATTGTATTTAACTGAATATATCCAAAATATTATCATGCTAACATATAATCAGTATTTTATTTTATTTTATTTTTTTTAACATTTTTTAAAATTTATTTCTAGGAGAGAGAGAGAGAGAGAGACAGCGTGAGCAGGGAAGGGTCAGAGAGAGAGGGAGTCACAGGCTGAAACAGGCTCCAGGCTCTGAGCTGGCAGTCAGCACAGAGCCCGACGCGGGGCTCGAACCCACGATCCGTGAGATCATGACCTAAGCGAAAGTCGGACGCTTAACCGACTAAGCCACCCAGGCGCCCCTATAATCAGTATTTTAAAACTATTAGAGATATTTTACATTTTTTTGTATTAAATCTTCAAAATTTGATGTGTAGATTATACTTAACAGCTCATCTCAATTCAGACTAGCCACATTTCAAGTTCTAAAAAGCCATATGTGTCTAGCGGCCACTGTATGGGACAGCTGAGGTGATCTCTACCTCGATTATCCCATGTTTTATGCACGTGACCTGTATTGTCTCTTTTCCTTTATTCCTGGCTACCATGCACACTTTTCCCATTTAGACACCAGTGATATAGAGAAAACTGTTCATATAGCAGATACATTCCACTGTGGCTGCTTGTATATTTATCTTCTCCTCCCTACCACTGCCACAAGGGACCATCTCATGATTTTACTTGTCTCAGTGCCTTAAATGCTTTAACGTGATCACAGTAACAAACAATATTTCCAGAGGGCTTGCCATGTGCCAAGCACTATGCAATCTGCTTTACACATATTAACTCATTTTCTCATTTTAATCTCATAAAGACCTCATGATGTACCCTTACTATTGCCAGTTTGCAGATGGGGAATCTAAAACAGAGAAATTATGGAGCTTGCCCAGGGTCATTCAGCTGTAGGGCCTAGAATTGAAAGAATGTAATCTGACTCCATACTTAACGCTCTTTTATTTTTAAATTGGTAAATATAGTACATATGTGAAAAAATGAACAGATAATAAAAATAAATAAGTAGTCTAACTAATTATTATAAAGCCCACAACAGTGTAACCACTATCCACATCAAGAAACAGAAGATTTTTAGGTTTCAAACCCATTGCTTCTTCTAAGTCTCAACTCCTCTCCATAAAGTTCCTTCTGTCTTAGATACAGCCATTATCTATTTCCTTGCTCTTCTTTATAGTTTTAACACCTAAGTATGCATTATTTAATATCTTTTAACTTTATAAAAATGGAGTGATATATTATATATTCTTTTGTGAGTGGATTCTTTTTAACATTATATTTTTAAGATTCATATATATCATTGCATGTAGTTTGTTCATTTTTGTATTAGATTCCATTATACAATGATACCACAATTTATCTATTATGTTATTGATAGAGGACATTGGATTGTTTATCATTTTTAGCTATACCAAGAATACTGCTATTAACATTCTTTGACATGCATCCTGGTGCCCATGAGAGTGCCCTTCTAAGAGTTTATAACTGGAAGTGACACACTGGCTCATGTATGGGCCTGTGTTCAACTTTAGTAGATAAGGCCAAGTGCTTTTTCCAAACTGGTCAGTTCATTTACTTTCCCTAGAGTGAAGTGAAAATTCCCATTGCTCCACTCCTAGTCAGCAGTTGTCATTTTCAGTCTTTTTTATTTTTTTATTTTAGAGAGGTAGGGAGAGTGTGAGCAGGTAAGAGAGGCAAAGGGAGAGAGAGAAAGAATCTCAAACAGCTCTATGTTCAGTGTGGAGTCTGACTTGGGCCTCGATCCCATGACCCTTGGATCATGATCTGAACTGAAATCAAGAGTCAGATGTGCTACTGACTGGGCCACTCAAACAAGTGTCCCTTCAGTCTTTTTCAATTTTAGCCATTCTGGTGGGTATTCTCTTACTGTAGTTTCAATTTCCCTGTTTTCATATGAAGTTGATACTTTTTCACAGGTTTACTGATTATTTGGATTTCTTTCTTAGTGACATGCCTGTTCAAATCTTCATATGATTGTAGTTCTTTATATATTCTGGATATAAGACTTTTCTTGGTTATATGTGTTATACATTTTTGGGGGTTTTATTGAGATACAATTGACATTTATCTCTGTATAAGTTTAAGATGTACAGTCTAATGCTGTAAATCTCAGACTCTGAGGATTGCTTTTTAACTCTTTAATGGTGTTATTTGATGATACTGAGTCTTAAATATTAGTGTAGTCAAAGTGATCAGGTTTTCTATTATAGTATTTTTTGATTAGTTTAAGAAGGCTGTCTCCTTTTTTTTTTTTTAACTAAACTCTGCCTCAATGTGGGGCTCAACCTCACAACCTCAAGATCAAGAGTTGCATGCTCTACTGACTGGGCCAGCCAGGAACCTCAGGTGTGTCCTCTACTCTTGAGGTCATGGATATATGCTTCTAATTTACATTCTAAAAGCTTTATTGTTTTTCCATTCAAATGTATGTATGTATGTATCCACCTTGAATTAATTTTTTTAACATATACTTTTTTTAAATTTTAGAGAGAGAGAGCATGAGTGGGGGGAAAGGGGCAGAGAGAGAGAGAGAGAGAGAGAGAGAGAGAATCCTAAGCAGGCTCCATGCTCAGTGGGAAGCCTGCTGTGGGTCTCAATCCCACGACCCTAGGATCATGACCTGAGCTGAAATCAAGAGTTGGACACTCAACCAACTGAGCTGACCAGGTGCCTGATTTTTTTAAAGTTTATTTTGAGAGAGAGACAGAGTACACAGGCAGGGGAGGGGCAGACAGAGAGAATCCCAAGTAGGCTCTGTGCTGTCAGTGTGGAGCGCAATGTGGGGCTCAGACTCACAAACTGTGAGATCATGACCTGAGCTGAAACCAAGAGTCAGACCCTTAACTGACTGAGCCACCCAGGCTCCTGGCCTGGAATTGATTTTTGTATGTGATGCGAAGGGCTTAATTTCACTGTTTTTCTTCCAAATGGGAATCTATTTGTCCTCGCACCAATTATTGAAAACCAGTTTTTAGGCATTGCTGTGCATCACCACCATGACAATATAAATTCCCATGTATGGGTGAGACTTTCTGGGCTCTTTATTCTGTTCCATTGGTATATTTGTCTATTCTTGATCCAATACCACACTGCCTTAATTACTATGGCTTTATAATGAAACTTGATATCTGGTAATACAAGTCTTTCTCTTCTTCCTCTTCCTTTTACTTTCTTCTCTTCCTCATGAATGCTTGCTTGCCTTTGCTCTTCTATAAAATTTTTAATTGGCTAAAGTTTCACACACACAAATACCTATTGAGATTTTACTGGGAATTGCATTGCATCCTTTGATATCTTTCAGTATTGAAACTTCTATGAATATATTATCTCTTGTTTAGGTCTTCTTCAATGTTTTTGTTTGTTTTCTTTTTTAAGCAGACTCCATGCCCAACATGGGGCTTGAACTCACAACACTGAACTCAAGAGTTACATGCTTTACCAACTGAGCAAACCGGGTGGCCCTTTTTCAATGTGTTTTTTTTTTTTTTTTTTTAAATGCTTTCTTAGGGTGCCTGGGTGGCTCAGTTGGTTAAGCGTATGACTTTGGCTCAGGTCATGATCTCACAGTTCGTGGGTTCCAGCCCCATGTTGGGCTCTGTGCTGACAGCTAGCTCAGAGCTCCAGGCTCTGCTTCAGATTCTGGATCTCCCTCTCTCTCTGACCCTCCCCTGTTCACGCTGTCTCTCTCTCTCTCAGAAATAAAAAATGTTTTCTTCATATAGATCTTAGACTTTATTTATTTCTAGGTACTTGATATTTAATTTGAAATTATTATAAATAGTATATTTTTTTGAGAGAAAGAGTGAGCGAGCTGGGGGGTGGAGGAGAGGGAAAGAGAAAATCTTAAGCAGGCTCCACACCCAGCACGAAAGCTCTGTGTGGGGCTGGAGCTCACCACCATGAGATCATGACCAGAGCCAAAATCCAGAGCTCCATGCTTAATCTACCTACTACTGAGCCACCCAGATGCCCTATTATAAGTGGTTTCTTAAAAAAAAAAAAAAAAAAGTTAATTCTGCAACTTTTTCCTTGGAATATAGAAACATTGATTTAAAAATATGATTGTTAATCTGTTTAACTCATTAATTGCAACAATTTATCTGTGGATTCTTTTGGATTTTCCATATACATAATAATTACATCATCTGTGAAAAATAACAATGTGTTTCTTCTTATTTAATGGGTCGTCCTTTTGTTTTTCTTGCCTTACACCACTAAGGACATTCAGGGGCAAAAACAGTCATTCTTGTCTGCAGCACCCTATTAATCACTAGTAAGCCCTTTCGCCCCCGGCTCACAGCCTTGGAATCTTTAAGTCTCCAGCTGGAGGGTCAGGAGTTAAGACGCCCACACTCTCCTTTCAGCTCCTGCAGAGAGTTAAGGCAGGGCTTCTGCCTCTCGTAAACTCATCTTCCAATCCTGGAGAAGAAACGGGCCGCTTCCTCTGGTTGCCAAGCAACGGCGTCGTCCTGCCCCAGAAGTAGGTGCAGTTGGGCTACAAGCACGTGCCGCCTCTTCCGCGTTCCGGGACTACATCCCCCATAATACAGCGCGCCGCAATCGGCTGGTCTCCGAAGTGGGGGAAGGGCCAGGACGGGCCGGGAGGCGGAGCGGAAGCGGACTGCGAGGGACGAGAAGAGTAGAATCTCCACAAGCTGGGAACCACCTTGTCCCTGATTCTCAATCTCGGCCTTTCTCCATCCCGACCTGGAGGCTGTTTCGTGAAAGCGGGACGCAGCTGACGTCTGCTAATCGACTTTCGCTTCGCCGCCCCGGCTCGGGAGCCCGTTGGCGGCCGGCGACCCTGACAAGAAGCCCACTGGCAAGGTAATGGGGAAGGGGCGAGAGGGAAGTCGGGGGGAGGGGGGTAGAGACGTCTCCGCCCGGCTGGCGCGTGCCTTCACGGTATTCCCCTCAGGCCCGGCGGCCGCTCCTCCTCCGCCTTGTCCCGCCCTTAACCCCCCGCCCCACCCGGGCCGCTGCCCCAGGTGTCCGCAGAGAACGGGCTTGGGATCGGCCGGTAGTCCGCGGCCGAGGAGGCTCTTTGTCCCTGTCCCTCCGGGTCTGACAGCCGTGGCCCCGTGGGGCTCGGGCTGCTTGATCTGAGTGGGGCGGGCTCGGTCCCGTGGCCACTGGCGCGGGGGAGCGACAGACCTGGTGCAAGGATGGAGCGCCCGCGCGGCAGCCGCACTCACTCCTTTTTCTGCTTTTGACAGCTCAGCTGTGTTCTACTTTGAGGGAGAAAGTCATATGCCCCCCTTTTTTGTCCCCCCCCCCGCTTTTTTTACTCCCTCTTCAAACTCAGCAGCTGGGTGACTGGTAAGGATGAACTTAAACTGCCGTGTTGACTGTGACTTGTACTCTCGAAAGCGGTACTAAGAGTAGCTCAGACAACCCGGATTCCCATCCTGATCGAGTACACCGCCTGGCTTTGTGACCTTGGTTAATTAAAGGTTTCTCAGCAATCAAATGGAGATAACAAAACACACCTTTTAAGTTGTTGGAATGAAAAATAATATGCTTACAACGCCATTAATTGCTTTGACGAGAAAGTCCTTTGAATATGATACTTTAGTTACACTGAAGTGGCCTCTGGATTTATGGGTTTCGTGCTTTTCTTTGTTTAATCATTAGTACCCTAGGTTGCGTGCTCTTCACTTTATACTTTGTTCACCTTAAACGTAAGCAAGCTATTCTTTAAAATACGCTGTCTTCTTCATTTCCACTGTTTTAAGATGGCTGAGAATGTTCTTAGGAAATTGATGACTCTGCTTTTCTGTGGATCAGCTCTGGAGATACAAGGACTTACTACCCACTCCCTCCCCTTCCCCCCCCCCCCGCCCCCCTCACCCCCCAGCTGTGTCCTTTGGGAGACTCTTCAGAGGCGCTTAAGTGTTTGTTTTAGCAGAGTAAGCATCTAGATGTTCTGCAGTCCTGACGTGGGACTTCACCATCTTTACCCTATGTCAACCTTTTTCCACCTCTCTCCCTCACTTTCCCGCTGGTTACTAATTTTCCCTCTTTGGGATTTTTGTTTGCAAGTGGCAGTTTCCTTCCCAGAACACGTTGAATGAGTGCACTAAAATTCATAAGGAGTTATTTGAAACGTTTCACATTAGTCCCTCTACAGATTTGGTTCTTGCACTGTTCTCTCTTGCTACTTGACTAACATTGGTGATGAGTTTTTTTTTTTTAAGGAAATCTTTATGGTCCTTAGTTGATTTTTTTTCCAGTTGAAAATGTCTATTTTGGGGCGTCTGGGTCGCTCAGTGGGTTAAGTGTCCAACTCTAGATTTCAGCTCAGGTCATGATCCGGCGGTTTGTGGGTTCAAGCGCAGAGCCTGCTTGGGATTCTGTCTTTCCCTCTCTCTTTCTGCCCCTCCCCTCTTTGCTCACTCTGTCTCAAAAATAAATAAATAAACATTAAAAAAAAAAATGTCCTTTCTGTACTAGTTTGGGTTCAAACACTATTGTGTAATATTTGAAATAACATGTCCTGAGGAATTCTGGTTTTGAATGTACAGTTATAGTGGGAGAAAAGCAAGTAGGGCCTGATAAATTTTCTGTGTCATGTCTTTAGTGACTGATGCATTTTAAAAAATTTCATGAAGGATGGGGCGCCTGGGTGGCTCAGTCAGTTAAGTGTCCAGCTTTGGCTCAGGTCACAATATGGTTCATGAGTTTGAGCCCCACGTCAGGCTCTGTGCTGACAGCTCAGAGCCTGGAGCCTGCGTCAGATTCTGTGTCTCCCTCTCTCTTTCTGCCCCTCCCCTGCTCGTGCTCTGTCTCTCCCAAAAATAAATAAAAACATTTTTTAAAAATTCAAGAAGGAGAAATCTTTTTTTTTTTTAATTTTTAATGTTTTATTTATTTCTAGGAGAGAGAGAGAGAGACAGCATGAGCAGGGGAGGGTCAGAGAGAGAGGGAGTCACAGATTGAAACAGGCTCCAGGCTCTGAGCCGGCAGTCAGCACAGAGCCCGACGTGGGGCTCGAACCCACGAACCACGAGATCATGACCTAAGCGAAAGTCGGACACTTAACCGACTAAGCCACCCAGGCGCCCCAAGAAGGAGAAATCTAATGAATATATTTCATAAGGATAACAGAGAGCCAGAGAATAAATAAAGGGAAACTTTAAATGGTGGGAAATGACATGCATAAAGATTTCTGATTTATTTAAAAATATGTGGCAAAAATATTCATTTTGGAAAAAGAAAAGCTTCTATGTTGGTGTTAGTACAGTGTAGGACAGAGAGTAGTGGACTAAGGAAATAGGAGCCCTTATTTTTTGTCCTAGCTCTGTCACAATCTGTGGAACCTTATGTTCCTTTGTGGTCCTCATTTTCCTCATGCCTAACGTAGTGAATTGGTCTGATTCCAAGGACTCTTCTAGTTCAAACTTTCAATGATAAAGGTTTTAAAATGTTCTTGTTAGCATGGAACAAATTCATTTAAGCCCTTTTAGTCATTTATTTGTGTCTTAGGGCTCCCCCCGCCCCACCTTGAGGAAGGGGATACACATGTAGGAACTAGAAAGTTGCCACAAACAAGAATCTCTATTGACGAGTTCATTCTTTCATGAACTGCACATGTTTTGTCTACATTTTTGACATGCTTAGTTCTCTTCCTCTTTACTGTGTATCTCTTTTATTTTACTCATTGCCTCTGTTTACTTATTATGTCTGTTTCTTTTTAGTTCTAGTTTTGTCAATTCTGATCCAACATCATTGTTTCTTTTTTTGAATTCTTTCCCTTTTTGCTCCTATTCCCAACATCATAGTTTTCCTAGGGGCTCTTTTTTTCCCCAAGGCCTCAGGCAAGGTGCCCAATGCTAGTCTAGTTAGCTGTGGAAGGGGAGGTGGGCTCATGTGGCATAAAACATGATTGGCTGAGGCTGTGGGCAAGTGACTGAAATACCTAGCACTGCTTAATATATTTGATTAAACTTTTGCCGTGGCATAGTGATTTAGTAGTTTCCCTTTGGCTCTAACACTTTCTATTCTTAACCCTGAATTACTTTACCCATTTTCTTTTATCTTTGTACTCTTCACAGCTCTTGTCTTCTGTCTTTTCTCCCAAATATGCCATCTAAAAACGATCTGGTATCTTGAGATATGTTTCTGTATCTCAGCTGGAATTTTAGTGTTGCTTCTCTCAAGGCAGTTCACTTTTATGATTTTAAAAAATATTTTATTAAAAAAGTTGTTTAATCTTTATTTTTGACACACACACACACACACACACACACACAGAGTGTGAGCAGGGGAGGGGGAGAGAGAGGGAGACACCGAATCTGAAGCAGGCTCCAGGCTCTGAGCTGTCAGCACAAAGCCTGATGCGGGGCTTGAACTCACAGACTGCCTCATGGACAATGCGATCATGACCTGAGCCATAGTCGGACCTTCAACTGACTGAGCCACCCAGGTGTGTCAATTTATTCTTTAAAACTAATCTTTACACCGAGTGTGGGGCTTGAACTCAGGTTCCCAAGATCAAGAGTTGCATGCTTCTCTGACTGAGCCAGTCAGGTGCCCTAAGGCAGTTCACAATTTATTTAAAAATATTTTTTTATGTTTATTTGTTTTGAGGGAGAGAGAGGCTGGGCATGAGCTGGAAAGGGGCAGAGAGGGAGACACGGAATTGAAGCAGGCTCCAGGCTCTGAGCTGCCAGCACATAGCCCTATGCGGGGCCAGAACTCATGAGCCACAAGATCATAACCTGAGCCGAAGTCGGATGCCCAAACGACTGAGCCACTCAGGCGTCCTGGCAATTCACATTTTAAATCTTAGACCTAATTAGTAGTGGATGGCTATGTTCTCTGTTAATGTTTTTCCTTAACTTAATATGTAGGAAAAATATTTTAAGAATGGGCCTTTCCCCTTAAAATTACATTCTGAGGTCAAGTCTGTGGAGGACTTATTTCTGAGTCTTTTTTGGAGAGATCTGAACCTCTGAGTTCTGGTAAACATGCTATGTCTTTTTGTAAAGAATATGTGCTTCTCTAACTGTAAATTCCTTGGGAGACTAGTGGGCACTGATTTTTGTAGCACCGTTGCAGGATTTTTTACCTCAGTATCTGGGGTTCATTGTCTTACCAGTTCGAAGATTGAAGAGGTAGACACAAAATGAAAAGCAGGCCAAAGTTTATTAGAGTATAAGATTAGAAATTAAGAGTAAGAAAGCTCTCTTACAGAGAGGGGGCATTCAAAAGTGAATGCCCAAGGATATAGGCAAGGATCCTTGTTTTAATAAGGTTCTGGTCCCCCTCCCCCCCCAAATCTTTCTCAAGTTCTACCGTTATTGACTGAACAACTCTAGGTGCTGGGTTGTCCATTTCTGATTGGCTTGTTTCCATTGTATGAGAGGTGGTCTGTGGCCAAATTGTTCCTTGTGGGTCATAGGTTTTATGGTCTACTTATTTTCTGTCAGGTCTTTAGTCAAATTCCTGAGGGAAACCTGAGGGGGAGTAGGTGGTGTCTGTTACATTCTTAAGAGGGACCTTATGCAGATTGGGGGGGGGGGGGTTGCTCTGGTCAAACACTCCCAGCATTGTTCCGAAATACGTGTTTTTCCCCACCCAGAGACCTCAGATCCTATCCTCTCCCTCTCTGCCAATTTTATCCTATCTTTTCCTCTCGTAGCACCTTTGGCTAAGTGAGAGCTTCTCTGCTTGCTAGTTGCTGCTATTGCTGTTCATGGTTACTTGAGCTCCAGTCATAAAGAGCACAAAAAGCAGAGCACTGAATAAATGCAAAAATGGGATTTGAAGGGGAGGTTTTTTTTTTTAGGTAGGATTATCATCCATTAATGTTTTTTAATCTTGCT